ACATTCCCATATCTCCCCTATCTTGAAAAAATTCTCACTTGATCCTTCCATCTCCACTAAATATCATCTTATATCTCTCCTGCCCCCTTATAGCTAAACTCTTCTAAAAGGCTGTCTACACTAGATGCCTCAATTTTCTCTCCTCTAACTCCTTACAATCTGTCATGCAACCTTATCATTTTACCAAAACTGCTATCTTCAAAGTTACCAATAATCTTTTGGTTGCCAAATCAAGTAGCCTTTTCTCAATCCTCATGCTCTGCAGCCTCTGACACTGTTGATCACTCTCTCCTTTAATTTTTCAGGATACCACTGTCTCCTGGTTCTCCTCCCACCTCCCACTTATCTGACCACCACTCAGCCTCCTAGGCTAGAACCTCATCCAGATCATGCCCTCTAACCACAGACATTCCTCACGGTTCTGAGGCCCTCCTCTCTTTTCCTATTTCACTGGGTGATCTCATCAGTTCCCATGAACCTCTGAATTGCCATCTCTATGCTGATTATTCTCAAATCTACCTTTCTTGCCCCTACCTCTCTGCAGACCTCCAGTCTCACATCTCCAATTGCCTTTCAGACATCTCAAACTGGATGTACAACAGACATCCTAAACTTGACATGTACAAAACAGAACTCTTTCCCTCTAAATCTTCCTTACCTCCTAATTTCCCTGTTACTGTAGAAGGCCATACCATCCCTCCCAGGCCCTCAGGCTTGCACCCTAGGATTTATCCTGGATTCCTCACTATCTCTCTCCCCTCATATCCAAGCTACTGCCAAGACCTGTAGATTTCCTTTCTGTGGCATCTCTCACATACTCCCTCTTCTCTGCTTTGTCGCTGTCTCTCTCAGCTCTGGGCATTTTCTCTGGCTCTCCCCCATGCCTAGAAGGTTCTCCCTCCTCAGCTCTGTCTACTGACTTCTCCCAACTAAAACCTTATCTTTTACCAGAAGCCTTTTCCAATCCTTCTCCTCTTTTACTTCTTTCCTATTTATCCTGTACATAGCTTGCTTTCTGTATATTCTTTTACACGTTGTTTCCTCTGTTAGATTGTAAGCTCCTTGAGGGCAGGGTCTGTCTTTTGCCTTTTTTTGTATCCCCAGTATGTAGCACTGTGCCTGGCACATAATGGGTACTTATTAAATGTTTAGCGATTGACTAATTGATATGAACATCAATAATATTAACAAAAGAGGTAGCATAGCATAATGGAAGATGGCCTGGAAACCAGGAAGGGTTCAAGTCCAGTCTCTGAACATATGTGACCCTAATCATTTTACCAAGAGGTGCTTATAGCACTATAAGACTATAAATTGCAGAGAAGATACCAACCTTGTATTGGTAGTGGGAGTTTCCACACCAAGGTGTTCCCTATACCAACTAAATCACAGGTGCAGCCTTTACTACAATTTCTATTATTATCATCACAGAAAATAAAAAGTTAATTATTGCTTCTATACAAAGGAAGGCCTGCTGTAATGGTGTAAAAGAGAGAAAAGGGTCTGACTTTTGCTTCTCAAGGTCAGTGATAGTGATTTGCCCATGTAAATTATCACCTTTCATTCATTTGCATTAGATCATAAACTGGAGAATTTGGAAAGCAATAAAAAAAAAGATTGATCACCTGAGAGGTATAAATTAACTCAGTTAAGCAAAAATTTTAACTAACCTGGATTCTTTCCCAAGATTGTCCCAAAACAATAAATATCAAAGCTATGAACACACATGGCATAAGCTGAAACCATATTAAATCCCATTTCAACAAATGGAGAATGGTAGCCAAGAAAATACCAGTTATGACATCATCTTACAGTAAACACATGATTAATTCTAAAACTTATTACTCTTTTAAAAGTCTCTTCAGCAAAGTATATAGTATGTACACACTCCATCATATACCCATTCAAACTTGGGTAGTCCCATAAGAGTATATTTCTACCTGAAAACACTTGATCAAATTGTACTTTGAGGCATATGATCTTTAGACTTTTGCACTAATGCAACAGCAAATGTTTTCCTTATCAATACATTCTACTGTATCTATAATTGTATTTTAACATTGATGTTCTGGCCCAAAGCCAGTCCTGCTATTTCTCTCAAGAGGCTCCAAAGTTCCCTGAGGAGTCTATGGGTCTCTTTTTTCCTACTTCAGTGACTCAGGTCCCCACCACTGGTATTCCTCCTTTTTTTTTTTTTTTTTGGTATTCTCCCATTTTTAAGGAGCCAGAGACTAAGCTTCCCAGTTCCATTTAAGCATATAACATCAGTCAGTCAGTCAACAAGAATTTCATAAGCATTGATTATGCTAAGCACTGGGGATACAAAGAAGGGGAAAAGACAGTGCCCTCTTCTCAATGAGCTCACACTCTAATGAGGAAGCAACATATAAACAATTATGTACAAATAAGATAGATACAGGATAGACTGGAGATCATCTCAGGGAGAAGGCACCAAGATTAAGGAAAACCGCTAAAGGCAGTGGGACTTCAGCTAAGACTAGAAGGAAAGTAGGAGGCAGAAATAAAGGACAGAAATCCAAGAATGGTGGATAGCCAGCGTCACTGGATCATTCAACATAAAGGGAGCAAACTGTAAAAAGAATGGAAAGGTAGGAAGGAGCAAAGCTGTGAAGGGCTTTAAAAGACAAAGGACTTTCTATCTGATCCTAGAGGTTACAGGAAGCCAATGGAGTTCACTTAATAGGGGGGTAAGAGAGGCAGACTTGTGCTTTTAGGAAGATCCATTTGACAGCTGAGTGGAGGAAGAACTGGAGTGGAGAGAAACTTGAGGCAGGAAGACCTACCAGCAGGATATTGCTACATGAAGTGATGAGGGCCTGCATCAGAGTAATACTAGGGTCAGAGGAAAGAAGGGGGCATATACAAGAGATGTTAAGAGGCAGAAATGACAGGACTTAGCAATTAATTGGATGGGAGGGAGTGAAAGAGACTGAGGGGTCGAAGACAACAACTAGGTTGGAAGCCCAAATGATTGGGAGAACAGTGGTGCCCTTAAAAGTAGTAGGAAAGTCAGGAAGAGGGTAGCATTTGGGGGTGAGGTAGGAGGAAGTTAATGAGTTTAGTTTTGTACATGTTGAGTTTAAAAATGTCTACAAATCACACAGTTTGAAATGTCCAATAGGCAGTTGAAGATATAAGACTAAAGGTGAGGAGAGAGATTAGGGCTAGAAAAATATATTTGCAAATTATCTGCATTGAAATGATAATTAAATCCATGGGAGCTGAAGAGATCACCAAATGAATTGGTATAAAGCAAGAAAAGAAAAGGATCTAAGAGAGAGCCTTGGAGGATACCTGTTTTTAGAGGGTGTCACCTGGATGAAAATCCAAAAAAGAAGACTAAGAAGGAGTGATCACACAGGTAGGAGGAAAATTAGATCAAAGCAGTGTTATGAAAACCTAAAGAAAAGATAGTATCAAGGAGAAGAGCTTGATCTACAAACAGGTCAAGAAGGATGAGGACTGAGAAAAGTCCATTTGGGAAAAAGAGGGCTATTAGATTTGGCAATTAAGAAATCATTGGTAACTACAGAGAAAGCAATTTCGGTTGAATGATGAGGTTGGAAGCCAGATAATAGAAAGTTAAGAAAAAGAGGAAGAGAAAAGGAAGTGGAAGTAAAAAGTCTCAGACCCTTTTGAAGACACTGACATTACCTTCTGGCTGTGCAGCTGACGGAAAAATTGGGTACCACATAGTAGGTCAATCTGAACCACTTTCAGAATGTCCACAAATGTACTCTTCTCATATATCATTACAATCAGAAATGTGTCTTACAAGTGTAAATGTCATTTCAGCAACCTGAGAGGGTCTGCCCATGTGCTGGACCACCATTACACTACTGTTGAAGCCCACTAAATTATTATGTCTCTTTGTGATAAGACCAACGTCTACCAGTTTTCCTCTTCCTTCTCCCCTGGTACTCCTGCTATATGATTTAGGTTAGTTTTTCCATAAAAAGTGACACGTCCCAAGGACCTGTCTCTCTTTATAGACTCAGCTTCCTGGTAGCTTCTGGCTAAGGTGACATGGCTTTCTGGTGACCAGAGGGCATAAAAAGACCCATCCGTGGGCAGGGCTAGGGGAGAGAGATATTAGTACCCTTTAGACTTGGCAGTGGTAGTACTAAAGTTGTATAGTCACCATATCCTGACCTGCTGACCTGTCTCTTCCTAAGTGAAGGAGGCCATATGTCATTCAATCTAACTGTATTCTTACTAAATACTGTTGAATGACCTACAAGTGCCTGATATCATCCCAATATAGAACCTGAACTAACAGTGCTTCAGCCAGGCACACCCTTAATACTGGTCAGCAAGTTTTGCTGATTAATTTGGGTAAAAAAAGAATTTCTTTTCATCTGTTTTATATTTTTAACCTCTAATCAAAGTCTAGGAAAGAAGGAGTTGAGAAGAGTAACCTGGCAGTGAAAATAAATGTTCAAATATCCAAAAATGATTATAGACTGCTTTAAAAATGAAATTAAAGAACACATGAGAAAACAGGTTTAAAAATGCAAAATTCTGCTTTTATCTTGATTAAACATATCTTAGATATCATATAAATGTGCTATTCTAAATAATTCTGCAAAATATCTCAAAAATAAGACAGCACAAAAGGAGAAAAAATAGCCTAGAGAGTAAACTCTACTTCTTAGATTTTTCTTTGACATTAATTCATTTTTTCAGACCATTCTAAGAAGCTTAATTTAAAGAGACAGTCACCAGATCCACAACCACCAGTTCTTAAAAATATAAACCTTGTTGAAGCCTTAAGATGAAACTTAATTTTCCAATCACTACCACATTCTCCTCAAATGGGGGGTCTCTTTCCTTGTACTACAAATCATTTGTTTAAAAACTGAGTTAAAAAAAAATAAAAAATAAATAAATAAAAACTTAGTTGAAAGCACTAATCAACATCATTCTATATAAATCTTTATTCAGATTCTTTTCTAACGAACTTTTGTCCAAAAGCTTACCCATCTAGAAGACTCATTGTGGATGATGTCACTTCAGCAAACAGAATTACTTTTCCTAGTTGCTTTGTCTGCAAATTTTTTTGATAGATCTCCAGGTTAAAATGTTCTGGGGAAAATTCCTCTGTTGTGGTGACAACTGGCATCTGAGATGGAGTTACTTCCAATTCTGGTTTATAGGATGAAACAAATTTAAGGGTCAACTTGCTGAATGTCATCACTCCTTCAGGACCCACATTTCCCGTAAGCCACTGCATAAAGGAAACTCGAACTTCCTGTATTAAAAGGAAGAAATGAAAAGGTCTAAATCATTTCAATTCAACAAATTTATTAAGCACCTCCTATGTGAGGAGAACCTGTGCTAGGCACTGGAGATAACAAAAATTATCAATAATAACAAAAATAGCTCCTTAAAAAGCTTTAAAATCAAGTAGGAACCAGATACATCTTCAAATGACTATGTTTCTTCAAGACATCAGTAAATCTATAAAATTCACTGAAGTAGGAAATTCCTGCACCAGTTCCATTTGTAACCCTATACATACTTTTCAACCTTACATAAGTTGTGTACATATGTTTTCCACAGAGGAACTCCTCAATACACCGAAGACTTTCCTTTAGGTTTTTTTTTAACATTCAGTTGCTATCACTGTAGCACTCAAGCCTTAGCAATGCCTGTCGTGGATTTATCTCCTTTACTGATCATACGCTTCCTTGATAATAACTTTCATGCCACTTCTAATACATAAAAGAGATCACTGGCAATATGCTACAGCTTACTGACATCCAACACAAATTGCTTTATTTTTCTTTGGGCCACCTGCCATTTGATTCTTGTTTTGTTTTTGGTTTTGGGGAGGCAATCAAGGTTAAGTGACTTGCCAGGCTCATGCAGGTAGTAAGTGTCAAGTGTCTGAGGCCACATTTTATTCAGGTCCTCCTGACTCCAGGGCTAGGACTCTATCCACTAGTCACTCAGCTGCCCCCATTTGACTATTTAGAAACTGATCTGCAACCATATAAATAACACTACCAGGAGAATACTGGTGTTAAGAACATGGGGTTTTGAATCAAACAGCATCTAGGGATGACTGAAAGTACAAATTCTCAAGCTGTACAGCCTTCTCTACCATCAGTTCAATTCTGAGTGAACCTCACTAACTTTCAGTATTGTTTGTTTAAAATGTAAGTACTGATGGACTAACTGGATGGGTGGCCTATCAAAATTCAGCTCATAATCTAAGCAATAGATAGATATTCTTCAGCCATTTGGTATTTCCTATGGGGATTATTAGTCTAATCTCATGGATCTCACTGAAGAGGCTCTGGGGCCTCCAGAGCTTGATGCAATCAGTACAATGTCATTTCAAAACAGTACCAAGTGGAGAACCTTACTATCAACGGAGTCCTTTTTTATCTGAAATCTGTCCCAGACATTCTGGAGCAGCTAGGTGGCAAAGTGGATAGAGTGCTGGGCTTGGAATCAGAAAAAGTATCTTCCTGAGTTCAAATCTGGATCAGATACTTATTAGCTATGTGATCCTGGACAAGTCACTTAACCCTGTTTGCTTCAGTTTCCTCATCTGTGAAATGAGCTGGAGAAGGAAATGGCAAACCCCTCCAGTATCTTCACCTAGAAAACCCAAAATGGGGTTAAAAGAATCAGATGTGAGTCAGACCCAAGTCGGACACAACTGAACAACTGGGTGCTCTCCATGACAGTGGCAGAGACCTTTGTTAAGCACACATCTCCCTATTATATCCCTTAGTTGACAATGATAATCAGAGGATTATTGAACAAAGTTGGGCAAATGAGAATATGAATGAGGTACAAAGTGCTATGAGATATTAAAGGACAGAAAAATAGAAAAAGGTCACTTCCACTCAGAACGAGGTAATACTGAACAAAAATCAGAACAAGGTTTATACAGTCAAGATAATATTTAAAAATTGCACTCCCTATGGTTATTATACATTACAATCATAGAATAATCAATGTGGAGATGAAAGGGGCCTTAGTAGCCACTGAGTCCTTGTGTGACCGATGAAAGAACTAAAGCATAAATCACAAAGCATCAGAAATGATTAAAACAAGTCAACAACAACAGAAACAACAAAAGCGGTGTCAAACTCACAGGGGCCACTAAACTGAACGTGAGAACCCTTCCAGGCTGCATACTAAGTTAGTTTTTAAGTGTAACAGTATCTACACTTTATTACGTTTTTATTTATTTTTGTTAAATATTTCCCAGTTGCATTTCATTCTGGTTTTGGCTGTACCCAGAATTGTTGTGGGCCCCATGCAGGCCACGTGTTTGATGTCTACGGTCTTAGGGAATCTATCATTTAATCTGAACATCAAGCACATAGCACTTCTCTTCTGTCAAGACCTCTTCCTTTGCGGCTCCTACACAATAGATACAGATTTAGAAACATTACAGAATAAAAACTCAGAACATCTTCGGGCTTTTGGTGACTAAATGAACATTAGTAAATCCATTTCTGGTCCTCATTCACTGATGTGATTCATAAGCATAGGCAAGTAGTATCATCTGGAATGTTGTGAAATTGTTTGAAATCAGTAGTCACCTGTTTTTTTATTTATTTCCCCCATCATGTTTTATGTTTAAGTGCTATGAATGAAAGTAATTGTCAGGGTTGGCTGCAGAAATTTCTACCTGCTTCTAGGAACTAACCTTTCTCTTCCACACAGCTGCCAATACGTACCAGTTTTACTATGTTATTCCTCTGTACCACAAGTCTTTACTGACACCCTGTTGCTTCTAGGACAAAAACTAAAATGTTCTAGTAAGCCTGACATTTAAATTTGTCTTCAATCTGACTCCATCTATCTTTTCTGTTTGTTTGCTTAAAATAACAACAACAAAATTTCCTGTTGAGTTCCAAACATATTATACAAAATACTCATGATCTTTTCTTGAAGGGAAGTTTCTACACTACACAGCTCACAGTATTACTAGTGAGAACTATGCCATTTAAATGTTCTCATTTTTGTTCCAACAACCAGTTGTGTATATCCAGTGTCTAAAGCGCTAGACTGAACCAGAAGGCTATCAATTAGTACAGTTAGCATTACCATTTAAAAAAAAAGGTAAAAGTAGCCCACAAAACTGGAGGGGGGAGGAGATTCTTATAACTAACCCTGATGATTACTTTCATTCACAGTACTTCAACTTAAAACATGATAAGGGAAACGAATAAAATCAGATAGGCTACTGCTTTTAAACAATATCAAAACAATCCAGGTGATAATACTAAGGTCCTTTTAATTATCAAAGACCTGAAAACATTCTGACTTTAAATTCTGTGATGTTTCTAAAGCTCTGTCCCATGCAAAATAAACAGAAACTTAGAACCTACCCATCAATTGGGGAATGACTGAATGTAAATGTAGATTAATACAATGGAATTATTGAATCATAAGAAATTTAAGAAAAAGATCATTTCAGAGAAACATGGGAAGACTTATATGAACTGATACAAAGTAAATAGAACCAAGAGAAAAACTGATACTATAATAATAATAATGACGTGAAGAAAAACTAATTTAAAATACTTAAGAACTTTGATCAATTTAATGACCAATCACACTTCCAGATTATTGTTAATGAAATATATGCTACCCACTTCCTGTCAGATGGACTCAAGTTGCAGAATGAGACATACATTTATAGGATATAGTCAATATGGGAATTTGTTTTGCTTGATTTTGCATATTTGTTACAAGAGTTTTGTTTGTATTTTTTTTGGGGGGGGAGGATCAAAAGGAATGTGGGGCTAAGAATAGGAACCTTCTCCCCCAAAATGAAAAGAGAACAGAAGGAAGATGAGAAGAAATCACAAAAAAATTACAAATTCAAAAGTTCATACTGAATTTATTACACACTTAAAAAGAAAACCAAGTTCTAGCTAAGAAACTGACAATTTTATGTACAATTTTCTCTCTTTTGCAATATAAATTTTCATTATGGACGGAATATTCATTTAACTTGGTTTTTGTTAAGTTCAGAATAAAAGATAAATAGAAGAAAAATAAAGAGAAAGCTTTTAGATTAGTCCAAATGAAAGGTGATGATAGGCCTGAACCAAGATAATGGTCATATAAATGATCCAAAGCAACCACTTCTATCTCTACCGGCAAAAGACATTGTCTGCCACCTGCTGTCAACCCAGTTTTCCAACTGGGATATGGAGATCCTCCAGTGTAAAGAAGAGCAACCCTGGGGCACAGCCAAGATGGTGGAGTAAAAGCAATGACTTGCTTGAGCTCTCCCCCAAACTCCTCCAAATACTGTAAAAAATGGCTCTAAACAAATTTTAGAGCAGCAGAACCCACAAAAAAGACAGACTGAAACAAATCTTCAGCCCAAGACAACCTGGATGGTTGATTGAAAAGGTCTATCGTGCCAGGCTGGGAGAGGAACGCAGTTCAGCATGGGTACGCGGGCAAAGACCAGGCCTCAGCAAACCTGTAGCAGGCCTCAGAACACTGAATCGTGGGCAGCTGTGGCAGTTTACAGACTTCTGAAAACACAAACGCCAAAGACAACTTAGAAGGTCAGTAGGAAAAGTCTGTAACTTCGGTGAGAGAGAAGCTCGATCCTGATCCCAGCCCCGAGAAAGTGGCTGCTTCTGAAGCTCGCAGCCCACACATGGAGAGGGGGATCAAGTGGCTGACCAGAGGGGGATTACAGGGATCTCTTTGCTAGTGCTGAGGCAGGATTCTCTTGCTCTGCCCATGCTTAGATCTGGGTTGCAGTCTTGGGGTAAAAAGGAGCGCTGGCGTGGTGGTAGAGAGGGAATCTTCCTCACAGTCCCAGGGCAGAAAAGAGTGCTTATGGTCACTCACAGATCAGAGCACAGGCCAGGAAAGGAGTAAACACCTTGCCCCTTATCACACCACCTTGGAAGAACTGAAAATCTATAGGTCCCTAGAAGTAGTTCTGAAAATAGCTGCACAAAACCCCCGAACCTTGGGACAGTACATTCTCCACACTGGAAACAGACCCCTGCCTTCATAAAGTGTTTAAAACTCAAGTAATTGGGGGACAGCGAGGTGGCACAGTGGATAGAGCACCAGCCCTGGATTCAGGAGATCCTGAGTTCAAATCCGGACTCAGACACATAACACTTACTAGCTGTGTGACTCTGGGCAAAGTCACTTAACCCCACTGCCTAACCAAAAAAAAAACCCTCAAGTAATTGGCTGGGAACATGAGAAAACTGCGCAAAAAGTCAGACAATAGAATCTTTC